AAGCAGAGTATAATTGGGTCAGGGAGCCTTTTGCAGACTGTCACTTTAACCTGCAAAGAATCTTAGTCTAAGGATATCATCTGGTTTGAAATCTAGGCCCTACTAAAACTGGACTGGACTTTCGTGCAGGTATTAAAGCAGTACCTTTTGTGAAAAACATGCTGCTTCAGGTTCCCTCTGGTGTAACTGCCATAAGGAAAACCCAAGTTGTCCTTTTGATCTCTGTTGAAAGGGTGATCTGAGGTCAGACTGGCTGATCATCTTCTCCAGCAGAGATTGTGTGACCACAAGTCAAGGTTTTTTGTGACAGGCATGTTTACACAAACTGCGGTGAATTGCGTTGAACACAGGTCACAGAAAGGACTGGTTCACAGCTCATTGTGGATGTGATGGATGGTGCACTACGCTAAAATGCAAACATGACAATGGATGCCACAACAGATTGCCACACAGCTGTGCAGCACACCACGCAGCTGTGCAAGGACCTGAATGGACACATTGTACACTACCCATAAAGTTAAAGAACTCCACTGTGTAATACAATACATGCACAATTTTTGGCGATCATACTGTACCGGACCCTAGGCATTGCTGTACAATGTGTTCTGATGCAGGCGATCACACTGCGGGAGGCGTGGCTGCGGTGCTATTGACATGAATGCCAGAGGGGAATAAACGAGCGCTTCGTGACTGCCCCACATGAAAAAGCAGCGACCATTTTGTTCTCCTTTCTCTCCCACCCCCCTACCCCCTGGGGGACATTTTAAAAGATGTTGAAAACTGTTTATTATCATTATTGATGTGCTTGAGCCTTTCTAGCCAAGCACTAGTTATGTAATTGAAGTTATGCTATTTATTTATATATATTTAAAATATTTTAATATATTGAGTAAACTAATAAAAAATGCTGCGGCCATTTCTTGCCACTTGGAGAGTGTTTGTTTTATTTTAGTAATATAAAAGGTTTGCTTGGTTTGAATGTCACTTGCTTTTCCATGGCACCACCACGCCCCAGAACACGGGAGGTTTCAATTATGCAATCTAGTGCATTCCGACCACTAACTGCGCCGGAACACACTGGATGTTGTGTGAACTGGTCCTTAGTGAGCAGAACTGTGAGAGCCTGGAGCAGTGTTTTGTCCCGGAAAAGTATTTCAGCCGGTTGCTCCTTATCTATCCATTTCAACATACCTGTTAAGGCCTAAGAGTAGACCCACTTTAAATACAGTCAATTAAAGCATTTCACTATGTTCCTTACAACATAAGAGCATTTCTTTAAAAGCCTCCATTACATCATGCCGAGTTACCACAGCCTGTGTGGCATTACAGAAGAAAAATATTTGTTGATTTGGGTCAGACATGTTAGCTGCAACATAATGAGGATTAGGAGGGGTAATGGATACAGAAGTAGAAGAGTTCAAATGTTTCCATGTGGGATGCATGCTTGTATATTTTCTACAGTACGGAGTGTAATTACCTCTAAAATGAACTTTGTTTATATCATGTAACCATTTAAAAGCCAAAATTCAGACAAACATCTAATACACCCTATCAACACATATAAAACAGAACTACCCGCCAAAGGATCTGTTGCTGTGTGTAGCCAGTCTTGTGATCTAGACCACCATCCCCCCCTTTCAAACAGCATAAACATTTCAGGGACATCATCTTTCCACACTGCAGTTACATTAAACCTTTTGTTATGTAAAGCCTGTGTTGCTGACAAGTAGGCAGGTTTACCTGGACTTGGCATTTTTATTGAGATGGCCAGAGGCAGATTCTACCTCCATGTTGGCATGAATACCCAAGCAGCGTGTGAGTGTGTTCATGCCGCACTCCAGAGATGTACAGTTCTGAGAGACTAAATGTTTTTACTGCCAGTTAGCTCATAGGTGAATTTGCCCAGAGTTTTTTTTTATTTATGCCAACAATAAACAAGGCCAAACAGCTGGGTCATAAATCTGCCACCAGCTTGTTGACCGGACAAGGAAGGAGCATCACCATGCTGATTAGGCCATCACTCTGCACTTCTCTCCTGTCTGTATGCTGCCACGACTATACAAGAGTACAAAATGGAGTAGAGTCTAACTGATTCACAGCACTCCCCTTCTTTCACTCTAGATCCTGCCTCTTTACAGAAATAAGGTTAGCTTTACAGTGTGTCCTTCTTTCATACAGTTTTAACAATGTCTGTCCTAATAAAGATCTAGAAAGCATTGTATGTTACTAAGAGGAAGGGCTTAATTTTAAGTTCTGCCTGCCTACCAATCACACGGCACTAGTGCCCCTAGATGGCACTAACAATTACATGAATCTCCTATACTCAAGCCGCCATCTAGGGGCACCAAAGACATGCAAACGGCATAGCTGGGTGGAACTTTTATAAATGAAGCCCTTATCGTGAGTATTTGTATGGGGACAGGTTCACTTTGAAATTGTTCAAAGTAGCTTCCAGTCTGCCCAAAGACCATTTCTTTTTTTTTTTAATTATGTTTTAGGAATGCTGTGTCAATAGGAACACATAACAAATATATAGTCGGGGGGTTCTCAAATGTGACTGCAAAAGTGGAAATACATTTTAAAGTACATGTTCAGGATTGACTAAGAGGGTTATTTACAAAAGGGTGAAGAGTTTGGAGAAGGCAGGAGAAGTGACCAATCTAGGACAGCATGGCTGATTTGGGAAAATTATCTTATTCAGCTCACTTTCCAGTTCAGCTATGTTGTCCTAGATTGTTCTCTTCTCCTGTCTTCTCCAAACTCTTCACCCTTTAGTGAATAATCCTGTAAATGTTCTCTCAATTCCCTTCCCTGGCCCCCTTGATCTCTGATGGTTGTGGCCTATTTATCCGTGGGAAGTGTGGGATGGGGGCTTCTAAGGGGGCTAGGGAAACTTTTGCTAAATGCTGAACATGTACATTAAGCCTCGCTTAGGAGGTCAGAAGGTTTGTATTTGAGGTCACCTATAATTTGTAATAATTACAATTGACATACTCCACTAACCAAAAAAGGAAATACACAAGATAGCTGAATTTTAATGAGTAGTAGATAATAGACCCTGCACTGTATATTCACCATATGACTGCTGGAAGGAATACTATAGTCTTACTGGAACTGCAAGGATGAATGTTTGGGAATTAGACCTCCCTAAACAGATTTTACCATTTGTAAGATGCAGCTAACTCACTGACCATTACTTCCTTGAATCATACTGCATTCCACATAAAATAAACAGTCTGTTCAGAACATGGAGGTGAAGGGGTATTGCCATACATCTTAAAGTTGTAAGAAGTGACTCACAGATGAACTTAACACAGATATAAAATCCCAAAATACGTATTTATCACATAACATCTGTTTTGATACCAGTCTCCTGTCATCTGTAGGCAAATATGTTGCGCTTGGTGTGCGTATTCAACCTTTATGTGTTCTCTCATAAACTAATGTTTGAGAAAGTTATGTCTCTGGTGATACTAATTTAAAGTGCTTTTAGGATCTTTAAATCGTGAAGGAGTAGTCTCCTGTCATCCCCAGAATAGTAGCACTTGGGAGCTAATAAGGGAGGGGCAGCACAGGGAGCTAATAAGGCTCTGCTAGGTGTACTAAAAGGGAAGATGCTGACAGGAGGGGAGAGCAATGTGTTCAGAGTTCTGCTGCTTCCCCATCATTGTCCAATCAGTAGGTGGTGCACAGTAGGTGATGCACAGGGAGGTGACATCACTTGAAACTGAAACCCAGACTGGAGAGAAAGTTACCCCTACAGTGGAGCCCCCACCGCACTGCATGAGTTAAATGCTTGTTTTGTCTTAAGGAATAGAAATAAGGTGAAAACGTTTCCTTATTCCTCGCTCCTGCAGACTTCCTCCTCTTCATTAGACTGGTCTCCCAAGCAGCTCCTCTTTGCTGGTGGGCCAGTCACAGCTCCCCAACATCTTCACGTACAATGTAGGACCAGTGGTCCACCATTGTACATAAAGAAGCCAAGGGCCTACCTACATTCTGGTATCATTGTAGAGTGGAGAAGTGAGAAATGGGGTACAGTAGGTCATTTACTTTATCATCCCGCAGACAAAACAAGCATTTATCCCTTGTAGCTCATAGGGCGCCACACTGTAAATGTAAATTTCTTCAGCGGAGTTCAGTTTTCAGGTCTTGTCTCTTCACCTGCCAGTGACTGGAGAAGCAGAAGGCTGATGAACTTATCTCTCTGTCATTTTGAACTCTTCTCCCGTCAGCATGTCCCTTACAATGCAACACAACTGACCGGCTCCTTGTGCTGCTTTACCTTCTCCCCGCTCTGCTGTACAGGGACCACAGGAAACAGCTACCAAGCCAAATTCAAGCACTTAGACTGATTGTATTAAAAAAAATACATTCAATGATGTATTAATGAAAGCAGAGCTGAATTCATTTGTACCTTACTCATCTGCCTGGAATTCACTTTAATTGACTCCATTGGTGGCTATGCATGTATTAATGCAACTACTTTGGAGTCTATTCACTAAGCTAGCGCAGGCAGCCGAGTGAACAACCGACCCGAAGTGAAGTGAGCCGAACGCTGTTCGGCTATTCACTTCATGCTTCAGGCTGGTACATCTGATTTCAGCCGTACATCGGCTTGCTTCGTGTGGCTTCGGTTCGGCCAAACATGCTCAGCATGTTAGGCCGAAGCGAAGTGCAGAAGGAGTTCGACTCAGCCGATCCAACATCTCATAGACGCTGAACAGCAGTGAGTAAATAGCCGAATGCCGCTAAGCGACATTCGCCTCGGCTATTTTGCTTGGTACCTCTGTGGAACCTGGTTACCTGGTAACCAGGGACACTGATCTCTCTGCAAGTGGCCGGAGCCAGCCTTAAGATGACAGCTGGCTCTGCCCAGCTGTCAGAAGCAGGCTGTCACCCGGCTGCCAATGGCCGGCCGCTCAGCCAGCTTTGGCTTTCACCTCGGCTCAGTCGAGCCGAGGCATATGCCTTTGGCTCGACTGACCCGCTCGACCAACTTCGGGAGCTGTACGCGCTATAGCCCGTACAGCAGCCCTTCGGTTCTACTCAACCGAAGGGGTCCTGGGGCCGAAGCTAGCCGAAGGATCAGCCGAAGCTATGGCTAGATCTTTCGGCAGCTTAGTGAATAGGCCCCATTGATTCAACTAAATAAAAAAACGCAAACAAAAGACACAACATTTCATCACCTTAGTGATTCTTTATCAAGTGTAACTTCGCTAGTTATTGCCAAATATTGCCGATCGATTCTGCTTGATCAAACAACTATTTGCATGTGTTTCAGGGAACCGGTGACAACAGAGAAGGATTAAATTATTGTTTTTAATAGATTCACGATTTTAATTAGTAATGAGCTGCGTGTATGCGATCACTCATATCTATGACAATCAACTGCTAAGCGCATGACCACCACAACAGAAAAAGTGTTATCACCACCCTCCAGCCACAGGCAATGTTATTTGAAGTGATAAAGTGGCTGCAGATATTTTCTCAGATAAGAGTGTTCACATATGTGTATTTCAGCCATGTATGTAGAACAGCCTTTCTCAAACAGGGTGCTGTAGCTTCTACCTTCCTCAGAGGTGCTTTGAAAGTTTCACACAGAATCATACCTTTTCATGCTGCAAGTAGGCTTCTGTTGTGAAAGGGGGGGCTATGATGTAAAAGGGGGACTCTGATATGAAAGGAGGGACTCTGCTATGAAAGGAGGGACTCTGCTATGAAAGGAGGGACTCTGATGTAAAAGGGGGTTTCTGATATGAAAGGGGGCCTTTGATATGAAAGGGGGACTCTGATATAAAAGGAGGGACTGATATGAAAGGAGGGACTATGATATGAAAGGGGGACTCTGATGTAAAAGGGGGACTCTGATGTAATAGGGGGACTCTGATGTAATAGGGGGACTCTGATGTAAAAGGGGGACTCTGTTGTAAAAGGGTGACTCTGATGTAAAAAGGGGACTCTGATATGAAAGGGGGACTCTGGTATGAAAGGGGGACTCTGATAGGAAAGGAGGGACTTAAGGAGAAACTCTGATGTGAAAGCAGGGCTCTGATATGAAAGGGGGGGGGGGTCTCTGATGTGAAGGGGGATTTCTGATGTAAATGGGGGACTCTGATGTGAAAGAGGGCTTTTGATGTGAAGAGGGGTTTTAGATTTGAAGCAGGGTCTTTTGATGTAAAGAGGGACTATGATATGAAAGGGGGCTCTGATGTAAAGGGGGACTCTTGATGTGTAGGTGGGGGCTTGTGATGTAAAGGGAGGACTCTAATATGAAAGGGGGACTCTAATATGAAAGGGGGACTGTGATTTCGAAAGCGGGGCTCCTGATGTGAAGGGAGGGTTCTTGATATAAAGGGGGGACTCTTATGTGAAAGAGGGACTTCTGATATGAAGGGGAGCATCTGATGTGCATGGAGCTTCTGGTATGAAGGGGGCTTGTCATGTGAAGGAGGAACTCTAATGTGAAAGGAGGGGGCTCTGGTAGTTGGCTTCTAGTAGTAAATAGTGGATTCTGATGTGAAAGGGAGGACTCTGATGTGAAGGGGGTCTCTTGTGTGTTTTTGCATGGGGTTCCCCCTTAAAATCCATACCAGACCTTTATCTGGGCTAAGGGTCTGGTATGAATTTTGGAGGGGCCACAAGTTGTTTTTTTACATGTTCTGCTTCATGAATCCTCAAAAAGTGACCTGAGCCTTTCATAAAGATTAATTTGGCACAGAATGAGTGTATAAAGAATAAAATAAATATGTTGCATCAGTAAATAAAACACACACACAAAGGTCACAAAGTTATCACAAATAATAATAATAATGGTAATTAAAAAAAAAAAAAGTTGTCACACATTTGCTGTTTATAACGGGAAATAATATTATTTTGCCTTTTAACGGTCTGTTTACAAGCTGTGCTGAATGTTTGACTGCTGGTGTGCGCTGACAGGTAGCATTGCTGATGTACCGATCCCAGCTCATCACACTGTTAACTTCTTTATGTTAAAACTTTATTAAAATGTCATTAGTCACATTTCATTACGTTCTATCTGCCACAGTGCGGTGAATACGGTTGCACCTCATCGCACAACGCTGAGCAACACCAATTTAAAGTGCGTTGGACCTGCACTGGAAAAGGTGACCAGCGCAACCCCAATACATTTGGTGTGAATGTGCCAAAGGTGTTTGCAAGACAACAAATCAGAATCCAGCTTTACACAACATCTCGTTGTGCAGGGGTAGGTTAGATTGGCACTCCAGCTGTTGTGGAACTACAAGTCTCATGAGGCATTTCAGGACTCTGACAGTATACAGTTTGTGCAGTGCTTTACAATATAAGGAAGACATTATGTGATTTTGGTGAAGCAAAAGTTGATTGTGCAAAGATTGTATGGTCAGATCCTGACAAGTGTGTTGACCCTAAAGCTCACCACACGCATTACAATCTGATTGTACAATCCCGATTATAGCTACCAAAACAGTATGTAGTACAAAACTGTCTGATTGGATACGAATTGATTGCAACGTTTAGGTAGATCCTCATATTACATCGATTTGGTAGATTTCAAGTTAATTGTACAAAGATTGTGCAGTCAGATTGTAATGTGTATGGTGAGCCTAAAGCTCACCAGATATGCTACAGTCTGATTGTACAATCGACTTTATATCTACCAACAAGTATGCGGCACAAGGCTGTCTGATTGGATACCAACAGGGCTATTCACAAAAGGGTGAAGGGTTTGGGGAAGGCAGGAGAAGTGACCAATCTAGGACAACATAGCTGATATGGAAAAATTCTGCAATTCAGCTCACTATCCAGTTCAGCTATGTTGTCCTAGATTGTTCACTTCTCCTGCCTGCTCCAAACTCTTCACCCTTTGGTGAATAACCCCGCAAGTGATTGGATACAAACTGATTGTATAGTTTAGGTAGATCCTCATATTACGTAGTATAGTATTGTATAGAGATTGTAATGTATATGGTGACCCTAAAGCTCACCACACACGCTACAATCTGATTGTACAATCACAGTTATATCTACCAACAAGTCTGTATTACAGGGGCTCCTTGATTGGATGCAATCTGATTGGATAGTGTCAGTTACATAGCTTTGGTAGAATTAAAAAGTTAATTGTAATGAGATTTTATGGCAAGACAGGAGGCTTCATATTTTGCATAACTCTCTTCGCTGGCTCCCCGTAGCGACATTGTAACATGTAACAGTGAAGACGCTGCAAATTGTCTTGAACATTACAGTCCCGTTGACTGTGACAATCTACGTCTAGCTCTACCATGACCTGGATAAATGAGAACCTTCAACGAGGACATGAAAAACATCACAGCCTATATAGCAATGGATCACTGGATGGCCCATGGACAGAGATTCTCTGATTCTCATTTCTGCAGTGTTATCACATATTGTCATGTTATCAGTGATCCTTTATGACTCACGTGAAAAACACACGTTCCCACCAAGGTCTGTTCCAGTAACGTGTACTCACCACTCCTAGAAGCTGTAGAAGCCACAAAATACAACATGAGTAGGCTCAGTCCGATGTGACAGACGCACGACTCCATTTCTGGGAGCGATTCTAAGTCTCTATCCCGAGTCTCCGTACACAGACTTCGCAGTCCTGCAGAACAGAACGTTTTACAAGCTTCTGCACAGAAATTAAAGAGAAACTTTTCATTTCCAGGAAAACACACTTCCTTCTACATGGTGTCCACCCCTTTCCTCCCACACCAGTGGAATCTAACCTCCTCCAGAAGACACGATGGGGCCAGAGGTGTCCAAGTACACAACTAGATCAAAACCATTCTCTTTACTTCCCGCTGACATTTGAGGGTGACACACAGGGCTACGTACCAACACGTACTGATCGCATGCTGTGTCATCCTAACCACACATCTTACCTCATCATTGTGGAAACACCCAGACAATCATTTCTCCACACTTCCATTCTAGCAGTCGCACTACACTGAATTGTAAAAAAAACTTCCCAGAGGAGAAGGGAGAACTCAAGTGTCCATTCAGGTGCATTGGTCAGTTTTTTTTAAGCAGATCTGATCGAAGCCCAATGTTAAGGTGGCCATACACTTTGCAACCCTCGCAGGACTTTAGTCTTGCGAGGGTTGTAAAGTAATTAAAAAAACGTACGATCTGCCCATCTTGGACAGGCAGATCGTACTTGTAATAAGCGCGACCCTTCCCCGCTGAGTGGTGGGCTTCCGATGAGCGCAATGCTGAACGGGCAGTGTGCGCTTGCGGCATTTATCTCACGATCATGCTACAAACAAAAATCGTACGATTTTCGGCTGGTTTTCGAACGTGTTCGAAATACAAAAGTCGTGCGGCCGTACAGTAGAAACGGCTGCACGCCTTCCATACACTTTGCGATTATCGTACGATCGCGGGATTTCCCGTGATTATCGTACGATAATCGTGCAGTGTATGGGCACCTTTAGTCTATGGGCAGCCAGATCTAAACGGATGTGTATCTGTTTACAGTAAACTTCCCATTATCCGGCATCCACAGGGATTGGTAGATTCCGGATAAATGTAGTTTCTGATTGCTTGAGAGTTACTATTAAACATAGGTCTAACTAATGCCATACCCCGTACTATACCATAACATAACATAAACTCTGTATTGACTTCACAGGATCCTGTCCAGGATAATAATACATGCCGCAGATCAGCAGGACAGTGAGTACACAGGGCATTTTTTTTCCTGGTTAGACGAGAGTTCTGATTAGCTGAATTCCGGATAACAGAGAGTTTACTGTACATGCGATTACAGCTCCGTCCAGGTCGAGAAAACTAAATGGAACAGAGATCCAGAGTGATCATGACAGATCGGAGGTAATCAGATGCAAACAGACACATGTCCACTCAGGGCTTGTTAACACTATGTCCGGACCAGTATGTTTTTTGTCCACACCTAATTTGCACCAAAATATATTCCTATGGTATCTTCTGGGCTTTGTTCACACCAGTGCAGTCCGTTCCAGTGCGGGGAAACA